AAATGCCCATACTCTGTAAAAGATTATTCTAATATACGAGACGCGATTTCAGATAAGAAGGTTAAAAAATAAATTTAAAAATTCTTTTAAAAATTAAATATTCCTATATATGATTCTAGATACTATTTTTGTACTTGGAAAATGACGAAATAAAATTAAAAGTTCAAAGTTTATACTTCTATCAAGTTCAAGGTCAACTTAAAATTACAAAGAGGGATCTATGTTATTTCGTTATTCATACAGATTCTTGGACACAAATTTTAAAAATTAAATTTGATTTGTCATTTTGGAAAATTAAAATGGAAGAACAGTTGAAATTGTAATTAAAAAGAATATAATTTTTACCTATAATATTAACTGTCCAACATATTTAATACATTAATCAATTTGAATAGATATGTCATTTTTTTTTTCAATTTTAGGTTTTATATGGAATGTATGCTGCCCGAAATTGTGGACCCACTTTATCCAAAAAGGATGTTAAAGTCGGATATCAGAGAACCACACAGAATAATACAAGCTAATGCTGAGAAAAAAAAAATTTAATTAAAATATAGAACTATATAAAAAAACAATTACAAATAGATTATATAGGTATTTATATATATTATATTATATATTATATAATAATAATAATAATAATAATTATATATATATATTACCTATATTTTAAATTATTAATATAATTTTAATTAATTTTACCTAAATTTGATTTTTTATTTAAATAAAAAATTATATGATATGATATTATTTACTGTATTGAGTATATTTTTTATGAAGTAATTATATTTTAATAATGCAATTAATACAAGCTACGTAGGTACGCGCGAATATTAAAATGATTATGGCGCGCCGCGGCGGCAATGCGGCATAATATACGTGTATGCCATAGACCATAGTGTATGCATTGTATATTTACTCGACCCGTCACAGACGAAGGTTGAGAAAATAATTAACGTCGCTCCCGAATGAGCAAATTCGTCGGCCGGCCGCCGACGACGAGTAGTGGGCGCGGCTTAAACGTCGCGTGCTTGCGCATCGCAGAAACACCTAACAGCGCGTTCTCTCGGTCGTTGTATGCGTTTCGCTTTCGGTGTAGCGTCCTCTTAAGTACAGCGTCCGCGCAAGGCCCAAACGGATTGTGGGCCCTAGCGGAACAACATACTAAAAGTGACCTTCCCCCCCCTGTTTTTCGGATTTTTGAGTTAAGTATAACTCCACTGGGATTCGACTTAGGGAGTTCGTTCCAACGGGGAACATTTTGTTTTAGTGCCCCGCACATAGTCCTCCCATAGTCCGGTGGTCTAAAATCCCTTCCAAGGGATCTCGGCTCCTGTCGGCGGGATTCGCTTCAAACTTGGCACACTTCTTCAAGAGGTTGCCGGGACCGTACCCACCGAGTTTGGTGTAAATCAAAAGGGTTTGGGAAAAGGGATTTTCCCCCCCTTCGGAGCTGCGCGGGCTTTTGTTGCGCATTTTTGTTGTACAGGCTTAAAGGAACACAGCGGCAGTTTCTCGGAGTCTGTAACGTGAATTGGAGCCAGTTGACTAGCGTAGATAGCATTCGGAGCGGGGGCTGATACCTCCGGATTTGGCCAACCCGCCTCCGTTTCTGTCACGTTAGAGCGAGTGGTAGCAGCAAAGGGGGCAAGGGTCGCCGGACCTCCCCCTTGCCATGGACTCTGACGGCGGCTCCAACGCTGGATCCACCAAACAACAGGAAATGGCAACAGGAGGAAAACTCGAATACCTCGAGAGTCAAGACGCGGGGCTCTTTCGAATGTTGAAGGCGGAGGTTGAGACCTTAAAAGAAATGGCCAAGCGCACCCAGGTGAAGGGGCTTAGGGAGACCGTTGATCACGTACACAGTATTATAGGATCCATCAAACATAATAACGCTGAGCTGAGAGTGCTGAGGAACCAGACAGCAGGCAGCAAGCTGATGGTAGTTGATGCGAAAAAAGTGGTGACCATTCTCACCCAGAATCTGAATACGGTGGTCAAGGAATCAAGCAACACTCTACTTGACGCCATCTCGAGTTTAGGTGTAAATACAGCCGGAGGTAATGGGGGTGGTGAACAAGGTTCCGATAGTGCAGAAATCAAGGCTGCAGTTGCTGGTCTGCATTCGATGCTCGAGGTGCAGAACCAGAAAATCGAGGTGATAGCCGAACGGGGTAAGACTAGTTGGACCGAAGTAGTCACCAGGGGCAAGAAGAAAGATAGAGGCGAAACCAGCGTCAATCCAATTGTCGACCAGTGACTAAAACCGATAATGCGCCGAAACAGCGACGGAGCTCTCGCCCCCCGGCCATCCTGGTGGACGTAAAGAAGGAGGACTTTCCTGAGCTGGCCAGAAAGATCCGTGGTGGGGTATCTCGCGACGTAATCGGAAACCACGTGGTGGGGATGAGGCAGGCCAAGTCTGGTGGCCTCCTCATCGAAGTTCGCGGAAACCCCGAAGAGGTGTCTGCAGTAAGGGCGGAGATATCTAGATCAGCAGGATGTGAAGTCGGCGTCAGGACACTCCAACAAAGGGAGCTTCTAGAAGTGAGGGACCTGGACCAATGGTCAGACGGACCTGAGGTCCTCGAAGCGTTTTCTTCGGTCCCAGGGTGTGACCCAAACGCATTGAAGCTAGTTAGTATGCGTAAGCGCTTTGGCGGAACACAACTCGCCCTAGTCTCTGCTCCCAAGGACGTGGCGCAGGCTGCCTTAAAGCAAGGTCGACTGAGGGTGGGCATGGTGAGCTGCAGCGTCAGGCGGTGTGAGGCGAAAATTAGATGTTTTCGGTGTTTGGCCCATGGACATGAAGCCAAGGCGTGTCAAGGCCCCGACAGGACCAAGTGTTGCAGGCGATGTGGTAAAGACGGGCACTTTGCCAACACATGTGTGGCCACTCCGGAGGATGCTCGATCGTTCGTGGGGGTATTGGCGGCAACCGGTCAGGCTGACAGCGGCAATGCGACGGCGGTCGTTGTACCAACGCAGTCGATATGATCCGCGTCCTACAAATAAATGTAGGCGTGTGCAGGGCGGCGCAGGATCTCGCCCTAACGACGGCTGCAGAGAAAGGCGCAGACGTAATCGTCTTCAGCGAGCAATACCGCGATAAGGACGAGGAGAACGGCTGGTACGCCGATGCCAGTGGACGGGCGGCCATCTTCGTATCGCCGTCTCAACACGTCCAAATCGTCGGTCCACGTGAACAGGGCTTCAGGTGGATACAGCTTGACGGCTACCGGCTGTATAGCTGTTATTGCTCACCAAATGTAGACCTGTCAGTCTTCGAAGACTTTCTGAGCGCGCTCGAGACGAGCGTTAGGACGTCACCCTGCCCGACCATCATTGCCGGTGACTTCAATGCCAAATCACGAGAGTGGGGCAGTCCCAGAGAGGACAGCAGGGGGAAAGCTCTGGCCGACCTATCAGCTTCCCTTGGACTGACGGTGTGCAACCAGGGCCAGCCCATGTTCGTCAGGGGAGCGTCGGAGTCGCATATCGACCTCACGTTCGTGACGAGGTCGGCGTCGTGCTGGGTTGACAACTGGAGGGTCCTCGACGAAGAGTCCCTCAGTCTACACAAATACTTGGAGTTCCATATCAAAACGGCAGGCCTGCGCGGTTTGGAGCCGAGCTTACGGAGAGGATGGGCTTATCGGAAGCTCGACTACGCGAAATTGGTGGATACTTTAAAACGAGACGTCCAGCCCTTGGCGCCTTCTGCAGCAGCCGCGTGTCAGCAGGTGGTCGACTGGCTGACACGAGCGTGCGATGGTAGTATGCCCAAGTCTGGTAACGGGAAACGTCGTCCAGCTCCCTGGTGGTCGGTGGATATAGCTGAGCAGCGCGCTAAGTGTCTCAAAGCTAGGCGCGCATACACCCGACTTAGACGGAAGACGGATGACGCTGGGTGCGCGGCCCAGCTGGAGACATTTAGGTCCGAGCGGAAGACCCTGGTCAGCATGATAAGGGCGGCGAAAGACGAGAACTGGAAGAGACTGTGCGAACTCGTCGATAACGACCCGTGGGGCCTCCCGTATCGGATCGTCATGAAAAAGCTAAATCGCAGGAAGACAATCCCAGGACTAGACCTGCCAGGCAGACTGGATAACATCGTCCGCACCCTCTTCCCCGCGAAACCTCCTTTTGTAAGAGGCATCGCACCTGTCAGCGTGGAGGATCTCGATCGGGTGTGCTTCTCGGTGGAAGAAATATTGTCGGCAGCGAGGGGACTTCCTAACGGCAAGGCACCGGGGCCAGACGGAATTCCCAACGAGGTTCTGAAGGCTGCGGTCGGCTTTCTCCCACAACATTTCGCCTCGCTGTACAATTGCTGCTTGAGAAGCGCCTACTATCCGCCGGAGTGGAAGACCGCCAATCTGGTACTGCTGCGTAAACCGGGCAAGGCACTGGATAGCCCGTCCGCTTACCGTCCCCTCTGCATGCTGGACTCGGTGGGTAAACTGTTTGAGAAATTGCTTACAGGTAGGCTGCGAGAGCACCTTAAGCACGACCAGGCACGCAACCAATTTGGCTTTAGGCCGGGTAAGTCAACCCTTGACGCGATGGCGAGGGTGCGATTGGCTGTTGAGGACGCGAACGGGAGGGGGCAGGCCTACAACCGATTCGTGGGCATGCTGACCCTCGACGTCAAAAATGCCTTCAATAGCGCCCCATGGGACAGAATTATCGATGCGCTAAAACGGAAAAATACCCCGACGTACCTGATCAACATAATAGGACAGTACCTGTCCGGAAGGAGTATTATAGTGCACTCGTCAGTCGGGAGCGCCAGAACCATGGAAGTGAGCTGCGGCGTCCCACAAGGTTCGGTCCTCGGGCCGGACCTTTGGAACGTACTCTACGATGATCTCCTGAGGATGCGACTCCCACCCGATGTCGAAATAGTGGCGTTTGCGGATGATGTGGCGCTATTGTCTACGGCGACAGTGCCCTACCTGCTGGAAGAGAGGCTCGGGCAGGCCCTCGGAGACGTGACGGACTGGTTGTCTGCCAACGGGTTGGAGCTGGCCGTCGAGAAATCGGAGGCGATTCTCTTTACCAACCGAAGGCGGCACAACCAGATGACCATTGAATTCAGAGGCCATCGGTTCGTGGCAAAAAGTGCGGTAAAGTATCTAGGGGTAATACTCGACCCCAAGCTTCATTTCATGGAGCACGCCGAGCTAGCAGCGAAGAGGGCGTCGGAAACTTGCAGACAGCTCACACAGATCCTTCCGAACCTCAGAGGTCCCAGGCAACGAACGAGAAAGGTGCTGGCCACGGTGGTGACCTCCCGGTTGCTGTATGGTGCTCCGTTTTGGCTCCCTTCCATCACGGCTGGGGCCTTGCACAAGATGGAGTCGGTGTACCGAAGAGCCATGCTGAGGGTCGCCTGTTGCTACCGGACGGTATCCTATGACGCTGCGGCGGTAGTGTCAGGCATGCCACCGCTCGCGCTGCTGGCCGAGGAGCGGCAGAAAACGCGCGGAGGTATGCTGAAGTGCGTGGCAAGGGATCAACTGTTGGAAAAGTGGCAGAGGACATGGGACGGATCGGCTAAAGGTCGATGGACTCACAGACTGATAAGAAAAATAGCTCCCTGGATGACAAGACAACACGGCGACGTGTCCTTCCACCTCAGCCAAGTGCTGACCGGACACGGATGCTTCGCCGAGTATCTTAAGAGATTCGGTAAGGCCGATAGCGACAGCTGCGCGCTGTGCGGGGCAGCACCCGACAGTGCTGAACACGCGGTATTCCACTGTGACGCGTTCCACCAATGGAGGGTCGAGGCATGCATATATCTGGAAGTCGATCGGCTCCTCCCAGAGAACCTCGTTGGAACTATGCTGAGATCCAATTCTGACTGGAAGAGGATCTCATCATTGATTAATAGAATAATGGTGACCAGGGAGAAGGAGGAACGGGCAAGGCAGCAGGCTCCTCCAGACATTCAAAGACCAAGCAGGTGCTGAGAAGGCGGAATGAAGATAGAAGTGAATAATTAGCAGAGAAATAATCGATTAAATTAATATATTTTAAGCTGTGAGGTTGTTTACAAGGGACAAACTCCCTTGTAGGCAACCAATAAAGTTGTATTATCATTTAAATTGTGAGGAGGCGACCAGGGGGACTGTCCCTGTTAGCATCCACCCATGTTTTGTAATCTTATTTAAATAAACGATGTATCTGGGCGGAAGTAATGTCGAACGACAATTCCCGCCTAGCTACGGTTCAAAAAAAAAAAAAAAAAAAAGGTTCAGTCCCCTCCAGGGACTCACCTTGACGCGGTGGGGGGCTTGAACGGTTGTCCGTCGACGCTAAGTGCTATGCCAACGGTGGTTAATTCCACCAGCAGGGTCTCCCATGTTGGACAGGACGAAGCAGAGGACAACCCGACCAAGAGTTCCCAAGGGCAGGACGGGCTCTTTAGCCACGATTGGCAGCCGTCCTAGGAGCCTAGGAGAAGGATACTCCGAAATTAAACCAACAGAAGGTAACTGTAAATCCCCTGGCAGTAGGTAAAATGCAGTGAAGGAAATCACTTAAAAAACCCAATATGGACGTTAACAACCGAATTATTGTTACCGCCCCAGTGTCGTCGGTAGGCACAGGGGACGCCGTGGGGGGCTCCCGTAGCCCGGTCCCCCTTGGTGCCGCACAAGGGCGATGCGATGTGGAGGCCCCACAAAAAACAGTTGCAACATCAAATGTCGCAGGTCTGGATAGACGAGGCGGGACTGAGGCAACTAAAACTGTAAGTCTTTCGAGGCCGCAGGCTGAAGCCAGATATTTCAAAACCTTAGAAGAAATCAACAAGCACCTCACCTTATTGGAGAAAAACCTTCAAACCGCCACAAACACCAGAGGGGACATCAAAAGTGGCATTAAGGACCTTGGCTTGTGTATAAGGGAGTTCACGAAAGTTGCTGGCGTACTAGGCATGACGCGATCTGCTGATGCCGTTGAGAAGTGCCTAAAACAGCAACAACTACAACAACAAAAGTCGCTTGATATACTCAAGGAAATACAAGCCACTCAATGCCAGGTACAGACTCTTGACCCTTTTCGTTCCGAGGACAGATCTTCCTTGATGGCGGACGTGGCAAAAGGTTTCCACGACCTTAACCGAAGAATGGATACTTTCGAGAAGAGAGTAGGCGAGTCCCTGGAAAAGATAACGCTGAAAACGATGAAAACGGAATGGACGGACGTGGTTAGAAAATCAAAGAATCAAAAGAATCAGCCAGCGCCAGAGAGGTTCCCACAACATATAAGGTTGGTGGAAGGAAAAAGACCAAAAAACGGAACCCCGCAATCGTGGTGGACTCAAAACCTGAGGACTTCCATGCACTGGTGAAAAAAATCAGCAAAGATGTAGACCAGCAGGTGATAGGAAACAAAATAGTAGCTATGCGA